TGTATATATATATATATATATATATATATATATATATAAATTGTTTTGCTATGTGTGTGTATATAAAATATATATGTGTGTGTGTGTGTGTATATATATATATATACACCCCTCAATTCTCACTACCAGAATACAAGAATAAAAAAATTATGAAATAATAGTGTAAATATGAAACTAAAAGTACCAGTAGGTCACAGCGAGTCACTGGCGTAATTAGTGACTCAGTGAATCATTCATTCAACCGATTCATTCAGAAATGAATCAATTGACTCACTCAATACATTCAAATGACTGCTTCATTCAAAAACAAAGCAAGTTACTTTTTTCATGAACGAATCACTAAATCATCGACTCACTGGATTCATTCAGTAATGAATCACCGCTGTGTGTTGATCAGAGACTCATCAATTCTGCTGTGACTTTGCAATATGATATGATATGATATACATTTAAGAGAGTGATTTATTTTTTGCCTCACATCTTGAATTTAAGGCTCATATAACTGCTTTCTAACAGTCAGTGGTCCTGCATGATTATGATCAATGTAAGATGATGGACATGGTGTTACAGTACATGCATTCATCATCTTAACTCCTTATTGACTTCATAAGTAATTGCACCAAATTGACAGATTAAATTGCCAGCCCTGTTTTGCTGTGATGTGTTTGCTGGTGGTCTGGTGTGATCAGTGTCATGTGACTCTCACCGGTGCGCGGCTCGTTCATGGGTCGACACGCCGTCCACTGGTTCTGCTGCGGGTCGTAGCGCTCGATGCTGGACAGATGAGACACACCGTTGTGTCCTCCCACCACAAAGATGAAGCCCAGCATCACGCCCACGCCGAAGTTAATGCGCTTATCAGCCATCGGCGCCACCATATCCCATGAGTCTTTGCTCGGGTCGTATCTCTCCACACTGAAACACACATCGATCCTCAATGAACTCTGACCTCAGTGACAGACCGGGTCAAGCAGCAGCACTAGTGATACTCCATTTAACTAACACCACTGATCTCCCACATACACCACCGGTCACAAGTGTTTAATGTTTTTAAAGAAGTCTCTTCGGTTCATCAAGCCTGCATTTATTTGAGCAAAAATACAGCAAAAAAGTGAAATATTATTAGGATGTAAAACAGCTGTTTTCTATGTGAATATCTGTTAAACTGTAATTTATTCCTGTGATCAAAGCTGTATTTTCAGCATCATTACTCCAGTCTTCAGTGTCACATGATCTTCAGAAATCAGTCTAATATGCTGATTTGCTGCTCAAGAAACATTTCTGATTATTATCAATGTTGAAAACATTTGTTTTTCAGGATTCTTTGATGAATAGAAAGATCTAAAGCTTTTGTAACATTATACACTATACCATTCGAAAGCTTGGAGTCAGTATAATCATTATATATTTATTATTAAATTATGAAATTATAGAAATTAATACTTTTATTTAGCAAGGATGCATTAAATTGATCAAAAGACATTTATAATGTAATTTCAGATAAATGCTGTTCTTCTGAACTTTCTATTCATCAAAGAAACCTAAAATAAAATTCTACTCAGCTGTTTTCAGCATCATAATAATAATAATAATAATAATGTTTCTTGAGCAGCAAATCAGCATATTAGAATGATTTCTGAAGATCATGTGACTCTGAAGACTGGAGTAATGATGCTGAAAATACAGCTGCGCATCACAGAAATAAATTACAGTTTAACAGATATTCACATAGAAAATAGATGTTTGAAATAGTAAAAATATTTCACAATTTTATTGCTTTTGCTGTATTTTTGCTCAAATAAATGCAGGCTTGCTGAACAGAAGAGAACTCTTAAAAAACATTGATTAGCTAATATCAGTCCGATCTCATAATTATTCAAACACTGCTGATATGTGTGTAGTGTTGAGCTGGAAGAACTCGAGATAAGCAGTGAAATCATATTAAAGACTGGACAAATAACTGCTGGGCCCATGAATCCCTGGCAGCGTCCCATGGGCCCCTGTTCTTCCCAGAACTCTTGACACGCGTTCAGAGGCGAAACACATCTCAGGAGAGCCACACGCTCATGGAGACACGAGCACAACAGCAGGAGCGTCCCATGAGCCCAAAGAGAGAAGAACACAGAGGACCAGACGAAACCAACCGTCCCCTGCCTTCAGACAGAGATTCACTGCAAACATGCTCAAACTCAAACCAAAAATGCATAAAGCGAAAAAAAAAATCTACTTAAAACTATAAAAATAAATCTAACTATTAAAGTCATACAGTAGTTTTTATTTGAAACAAGGCTTTGGATATAATTGTGTTTCGACTGATTCACTGACCAGTTTTTTTTAAATTTATTATTATCATTAAAATAGTGTTACAGTACCTATTAATATTTTGAATGTTTTTGTTTCATTTTTTATTTTAGTAATTTTGTTTTATTTATTTACTTATTTTTGTCTATAAAACATTTAATATTTTTATTTCAGTTTCAGTAGTTTTAATACTTGAACAAACTAAACTGAAATATTTACTAAAAGTAATTTTTATTATTATTTTAAATTTTTTAAAGCTGCATTCCGTAACTTTTTTTGGTTAAAAATGATCCGAAATCAATATTTGAGCAAGCACATAACCAGCCAGTGTTCAAAACCATCTCCTTACTTTAGCTCGATTCACAACGGTTAGTTATAATAATGTTTTCTAGTTTGAGTGCGTTTTCAAACAGAGATGGCGACAAAGAGGCAACACTTACGGACTGCAGCTTTAAGTTATTCAGTAGTTTTATTTGAAACAAGGCCTTGAATATAATTCTGTTTCTACTAATTTACCAACCAGTGTTATTTTAATATGATTAAAATTAAAAGTATTATAGCATTTTGGTTTTTGTGGTGCGCTTTTGTTCTTTTTACTTTTTTTTTTTTTATTACATTTTTATTAGTTTTGGTATTTTAGTTTTTTTTATTTTCAGTTTTTGCAATTTTAGTAATTTAACTTAAACTAAACGAAAATCTTAAATATTGTCTTGGCGACTACCTGAAATATTTACTGAAAATATAACTTAATTTTATTTTATTTTAGTTAACATTCATTTTGGTGCTTCATGTCCACAGTCTGTTAAATATCATCAATTTTAAATATAATATTGCCTGAAAAAAGTGGCATTTAATAATGCAAAACTCAACAATAGTTGATTTAACACACTAAAACACTAGTGATTTAAAACACTAATCTCAATTATTTTATTTCAATTAACACGCATGTTCTTTAATAGTTGTATTTAACAATATTAACACTGATACCGATCAGCATGCCACCTCCCAGAATTAGTTAAGTAATACATAATTCACAATTTTTACAAATTTAATTATAAGCATTAAATTATATTATACTTTTTAAAATAATTACAAATTAATAATAAATGTAATGCTTTCTAATAAATAAATTAATAATAATAAATACAAATAATAAATTGACTATGGTAATAAATGTAATGCTTTCTAATAAATAAATTAATAATAATAAATACAAATAATAATAAAAAGAATAATAAGTTGACTATGGTAAGTAATTTTCAATTAACTAAATATAAGTCCATTTTTATTCTTTCTTTTTTTTAAAGAAATTACACTTTTATTCAGCAAGGATGTGTTAAATTGTTAGAAATAAATTATATTTTAAAGGATATTAAAATAGAAACCATTATTTTATATTGTAGTAACATTTTGCAAGATTACTGTTTTTTTCTGTATTTTTGATCAAATAAATGCAGCCTTGACGAGCAGAAGAGACTTCTTTAAAAACAATACAAGTCTTATTGACCCCAAACTTTTGACCGGTAGTGTAGGATTCAAAACATACAAGCAAATATTCAGTAAAAAAGAAACACATTAGAAGCCATAGCTTTAGTTGTTGATAGTAACACTGACTGTGATTCCGACCAGCATGCCTCCTCCCAGAATGCACTGCTGCGGCGAGTCGTACCTGTTCATGTGGGCGGGGCCGTATCCTCCGATGGCGTAGATCATGCCGTCGAGCGCGGCGGTGGCGAAGCAGCTGCGTGATTTGGTCATCGGTGCCACCGGCTGCCACTCCTTGAGCTTGGGCCCGTACTTCTCCACTGACTGCAGGTAGTACTGTCCGTCGTATCCGCCGAGAGCGTACAGCTTGCCCGCTAGCACCACCACACCTAGCGTGCTCCTGCACTCGGCCATGCGCTCCACAGACGCCCAGGTGTTGCTGTCGGGGTCCCAGCGCTCCACGCTGCTCTCGTGCCGCCGGTAGCTGATGCCCTGCACACACAGAGACACACACACACACACACACACACACAGACACAGTCACAGACACACACACACACACACCGACACACACACAGACACACAGACACACACAGACACACACACACACAGACACACATACACACACACACACAGACACACACATCATGAACAGAGCACACAATAGGGGTTGCACCGACTAGTCGACTTCAATGCTCTGCCATGACGCTTTAAGCTTGACGTCGACTAGTCGCTGGTCCTATAGAGGGCGCAACAGGATAAGAAATCTTTGAAGGACTTCCACATTTATGCTCCGTTTCCAAACAGTTAAAATGACAAATAAATGCATACTCTGATAGCGCTCCACAAGACATGTGTGATTATATTACTGGATGCTCGAATTTGAACAGGAGAATGCACGTTTTAAACAGCTTATTGTACAGGTAAATTAATCGCCGTTCTAATCTAATGCGCTGCTGCACTGTAGCGATAGACTGTATAAAAACATGGACGTAGTGTCCGTGAATAAATCTCTGACAGAGACTATCAGCCAATCACTGTGTGCATAGTTAATAAGCATGCTGACATCACCCATAGCAACGAGCTCAGCCCCGCCCCCTTACTCTGAGCTTAAGACTTCGCTCTGCCATGACGCTTTAAGCTTGACGTCGACTAGTCGCTGGTCCTATAGAGGGCGCAACAGGATAAGAAATCTTTGAAGGACTTCCACATCTACACTCAGTTTCCAAACAGTTAAAATGACAAATAAATGCATACTCTGATAGCGCTCCACAAGACATGTGTGATTATATTACTGGATGCTCGAATTTGAACAGGAGAATGCACGTTTTAAACAGCTTATTGTACAGGTAAATTAATCGCCGTTCTAATCTAATGCGCTGCTGCACTGTAGCGATAGACTGTATAAAAACATGGACGTAGTGTCCGTGAATAAATCTCTGACAGAGACTATCAGCCAATCACTGTGTGCATAGTTAATAAGCATGCTGACATCACCCATAGCAACGAGCTCAGCCCCGCCCCCTTACTCTGAGCTTAAGACTTCTCTCTATTCCTTAGTACAAGTTTGTCTCAGCAGCTTTGTGAATAGCTTTTAAGAGAAAACTCCTAGCTGAAATCTTTTACTGCTATTTAGGAGAACTCTTAGTGGTAAGATCAAATGTTTTGTGAATACGGGCCCATTTAATATTTATATTGAAAGTAGCAAAATGTTTATAGCTGTAGCTGTAATCACGTGTGTTGGTTCACCTCTCCAGCGTGGCGAAGAGCCCGGCCTTTCCTCCGACGGCCAGCAGGACTTTAGGAGCGCAGCGCGGCCGTGTGGACAGCACCGTCTGGTAGGAGAGCCGGTGCTCGGGCATGAAGTGGTACTTGAGCGCCTCGTTGAGCAGGTGTTTGCAGGCGTGGTCGTCTCGGATCAGGTGATTAGCCTCGTAGAGCCGCGTCAGGAACTTGACGCTCAGCAGCGGTAGCCGCACACAGTGCAGGAGCTGCGCCAGATACTGCTGCCGCTCCGTCAGATCGTACTTGATCCAGGACTCCAGCGCGTAGAACACACTCTCCTCTGTCAGCACGTTCAGGCAGTCGTTGGACACGATCTCGTCCAGCTCGGCGCGCGTCAGCTCCAGGAACTCCTCCGTCTGGCACACCTCCTCGAAGTGCTGGCAGATGAATTTGGAGGCGGATAAACACAGCTCGTGGCAGCCGTAGGTCTCGGCGAAGCGCGAGATGCCGATGCAGTTCCCCGCGTCCAGCTGACTCTCCAGGAAGCTGCAGCACTCCTTCAGAACCAGCTTGACCTGCAGCAGGTTGGCGGCAGGAAGTAGAGTCTCCACTGTTTCCTGTGAGATGAAGACGGTTCCTGTGTAGGCGTACTCCACTATAGCCTGACGAGAGACGGAAACAGAGCACTTAACTCGTTAACGTTGTGCTGAATCAATTATATGTATATATATAATAGGAGTATGTTATCTTTTCGCCTCACGCACACACATGCAGCCTGTTCATTATCAGAATAAAATAGGCTATATGCAAAAAAAATCTAAATATTGAGAAAATCATCTTTAAAGTTGTTCAAATTAAGTTCTTAGCAGTGCATATTACTAATCAAAAATTAAGTTTTGATATATTTACGGTAGGAAATTTACAAAATATCTTCATGGAACATGATCTTAACTTAATATTCTAATGATTTTTGGCATAAAAGAAAAATGTATAATTTTGACCCATACAATGTATTATTGGCTATTGCTACAAATATACCCCAGCGACTTACTGTAAGATTGCTTTTGTGCTGCAGGGTCACAAATATTAGGGCTGTCAGTAGATTAAAATTTTTTATCTAATTACCTACATGGTGTTGATTAATTAATCTAATTAATCGCAAAATAAATTTGTTTGTGAAAATACCCACAGAAGATTATTTAAAGCTATTTTTGTGTTAAATGAGAAAGTATCAAGTAGACGTCACAAATTGTAGCTTTAAGAAATATTTTATTTGATTCAACATAAAATGTATTACACAAACATTCAGGCTGCAACGACTTAACATAAACTATGGAACATAAAAGAAGATAATTTGAGAAACATCCGAGTATTTTTTGTTCATATAATGAAAGTCATTGGTAACCAAAACAGTTTTAAAAATACCTTCTTTTATATTCCACAAAGAAAGTTTTGAAACTTTAATTTAAATTTTTTGGGTAAACTATCCCTTTAATATTTTTATTATTATTATATTTGTTTTAATGAAATTATACTCTAAATAAGAAACTAAATCTGCCAGCAGGTGGCGGTAAATGTCTTTGAGTCATTCATTCATTCGATTCGTACAAACGGCTGATTCATTCAGGAATGAAGTAAACGACTCTCGTAATGAATGAGTCTTTGAATAATTGATTCACACGATTCGTTTAAAACGCGGATTCATTCAGAAGCTCAGAAACATGCAACAATTCTGCTGTGGCTTTAATGTTCTCTGCAAAATTGAGCAAAAACACATAATATTGTGTTTAAAATATAACAATATCAACTTCTTATTTACTGAACTGTTCTATAAAATCACATTTAAACTCATGATATTTGGGACAGAATCAGCACTCGTATAATACTGCTATCGCTGTTCGTGTGATATCGCTTATCGTATGATATAAATATGAGACAAAAACTCATACAGGGGCATTTTTTGCACCAATATCTTGAATTTTAGGGCATAACTGTCAACTGTATGAAATGTAAGATGATGTACAGGTCTGGGGGCGGAGCCAGTGCGTTAACTGTGTTAAAATATTCTGCTCACCACCAGATGTTACCTTCCAGTTACGTTGACTCTCACTACACAAACTGTTGCATGTCACCCCGGATTACATTTCCCATCATCCACTGCACCGATTACACACACAGCTGCAACCAATCAAACACACTTTATATGCCATGGACTTTCTCTTTCTGATCGCCGAGTATTGTTAGCATTATCGCCGTCTTAGCGCAGCAACTCTACGGAGCCATTTCGTTAGCCATTGTTTGTTTCCAAGTCCTAGTTTTAGTCTAGTTTTGCCTTGCCTGTTTTCCGGTCCTTTGATTCTCGCCTGTGTGTATGGGATTACTTTGTCTTGCCTCATCTATATCTGTTTGCTGTGTATCGACCCACGCCTGTTTCTGACCATGCCAATGAAATGTGGCAAATATGACCTGAACATATAGGGATTGGTCCAGAAGAGATATGATTTGAAAGCGGCTGATTGTCCTGCATGCCGTTCTGGTGTGTTTGGATGTTAGAGATGGATGTACCTTGAGAGCGGCTTCATCGACGCACTGGAACTCCACCTCGGACGTCTCTTTCTCGGACAGGTTTCCGGTGAACATGGCCTTGAAGTAGGGGCTGATGCTGGCCAGCACCACTTTGTGCGCGTGGATCTTGGCGTCTCCGACCCGCAGCACGATGTCGCAGAGCTCGTGATCCTGCCGCAGGAGCTGCAGACCCTGCAGGAGCTGCTCGGAGTGAGGACGCGTCAGGCTCGCAAACATGTACGGCTTGGCCTGCTGCTCCATCTGACTGACACACAGACAACACACACGCTTTATTTGTGACCCAAAATCAGTCATAAGGATCCATTTTTGGAAATTGAGATTAATACATCATCTGAAGCTGAATAAATAATCTTTCCATTGATGTATGGTTTGTTAGGATAGAACAATATTTGGCTGAGATACAACTATTTGAAAATCTGGAATCTGAGGGTGCAAAAAAATCTAAATATTGAGAAAATCATCTTTAAAGTTGTTCAAATGAAGTTCTTAGCAATGCATATTACTAATCAAAAATTAAGTTTTGATATATTTACGGTAGGAAATTTACAAAATATCTTCATGGAACATGATCTTTACTTCATTATAGAAAAATGTATAATTTTGACCCATACAATGTATTGTTGGCTATTGCTACAAATATACCTGTGCTGCTTATGACTGCTTTTGTGCTGCAGGGTCACATAAGAACTTCACTACTAGTTATATACAGTCAAACCAATAATTATTCAAACACTAGATATAATTTTTGATATTTTTTTACTAGTGGGTGCAGGACACTATAGTTCATTTATGTAAGCGATGAGAGCAAAATAAAGTAAACTGAAATATTACACCCAAAAATTCTTCATACAGTGGACTATCAGTAAAATTTGGGAGCAAAAATTATTCAGACACTTTGAGCTGAGCATGTTTTGCTGAAGTGTTTTTCTTTAATTGCTAATGTGATCTTTTTACACCACAGACTGAACAGAATGAGAAGCATTGCTTGATAATTAGTTGAGCTGAATTGGTTTTATCTAATTGTGTTTAATGTAACAGCTGACAGCTATTCAACCGAATTCATTACATAGCTTTCTATCAAAGTTATCTAACATTATCACAGTTTATTCAGTTTAACTGAGTTCTGCTCATATTTTATTACCGTTTTCTAAACTATAGTGAATAGACTGTGATAATGTGAGAAATGTTGAAGGTGTCTGAATATATGTTGGTCTGACTGTACAGTGTGTGTTTATGACGCCACCGAACCGGAGTTTGGAACATGTTTAATAATGTTTCACTCGAAGAGTAACGGGATCTAATGAGAGCCAGTGTAAGACAGCAGCTCACTGGGGTTTGAGGATGAAGCACAGAATCAGAGACTCAGGAGAGCGTGCCTCAGTTCATGAGGGACATTAAACTCCCAGAAGACCAGCAGCAGTCAGGAGCTCTGAGAAACACTTCAGCAATCTCTCAGAGCTCTGCCACAGTCTTACAGTTCACAAATACAGACATACAGTGGGTACGGAAAGTATTAGAGTGAAAAATTTAAGGGGGTCTGAATACTTTCCGTACCCACTGTAAATGCAAATGCAATTACCCAAACTGATCATTTTCACCTGCACACCCTCAGAACCTTAAAAAGTGACAATGAGTTTATTTATGTGTATATATATATTTGAGGCAGTCATGGCCTAATGGATAGAGAGTCGGACTTGTAACCCGAAGGTCGCAGGTTCGAGTCTCAGGTCAATTTTGGATTGACATATACATATGTGACCCTGCAGCACAAAAGCAGTCATAAGCAGCACAGCTATATTTGTAGCAATAGCCAACAATACATTGTATGGGTCAAAATTATACATTTTTCTTTTATGCCAAAAATCATTAGGATATTAAGTAAAGATCATGTTCCATGAAGATATTTTGTAAATTTCCTACCGTAAATATATCAAAACTTAATTTTTGATTAGTAATATGCATTGCTAAGAACTTCATTTGGACAACTTTAAAGATGATTTTCTCAATATTTAGATTTTTTTGCACCCTCAGATTCCAGATTTTCAAATAGTTGTATCTCAGACAAATATTGTGCTATCCTCACAAACCATACATCAATGGAAAGATTATTTATTCAGCTTTCAGATGATGCATAAATCTCATAAAATTATGACTGTTTTTGTGCTCCAGGGTCACATATAATTTATTTGACTATTTTCGTCTTATTTTTAATACTATTGTACTGTTATTTGTTACTGTATGTCATATCTCATTTTCATTTATTACCTGCCTAATTTTAATATTATGTTACTGTTTGCTGTTGCAATATTCCCCATTTTCTTATCATTGCTTGTTCTTCATCTAATGCTTTATTAATGTAATTGTCTGGCATGAATCATCAGCTCGGATCGAGGAGTTTGTTCAAATCACACTGTATTTCTGTGCTCCCTACATACTACTGCCTCTCAAACAGCATCGTTTAAGTGTGTCCTCGACACCTACCTAGACAGCAGAGGCTCAAAACTGCTGCTGCACGCGTGTGTGCTCCAACAGCTGCTGTCTAGACAACACACACACTAACGCTCCCTCTGTAGACAGCATCGCCAGCTCGCTAGGTTTGACACACATCCACAAGCAGCAGAAATCACAGCAGGAGCGCTGAGTGACAGCATCAGAGATCACAGTCTTCTTCAAACACCGCAATCATCTCCATCTTCATCAAACAGCTGATATGAATAAATAACGCTGCTGGTTCCCAGCTAACATATTAGCATCAGAGCTCAGCTCAGGACAAACGCGCACTTACCGCGCATTTACACTCTGTCAGGCGTTCATTTAGTGAGGTAAAGTGCAGAAATAAAGCGTTTATTCAGCGTTTACCTGTGTGTCTGGCTGATTTCTGGCAGTTTGAAGCGCAACACGGCCGCGACTGTCAGGAAAACAAACACAAATCAGCGCTTGCGTCACTTCCGGTAAATAAAAGTCTCTGACGCCACCGCGCTTTTAAATAAACGACTGCGATTTAAAAATTGCTTAAAAACTGAATCTGTCTGTAACTCTTTTCCTATTTTTAATGGCATGTAAGTTTCAATTTAGTTTTTTCAGTTTGTAATATATTAAACGTATGGAGTTCATGTGTAACTGGTGTGAAAAATTCATTTATTTAATCTGACTTGGTTTGTTTATTTCCTTCTGTATTTTTTTTTTTCCTCTCTTAAATTTGTTTATTAATGTTTTAGTTTTTCCTACGTTTTGTAATAAGAATGTGTTAATGAACTTTAAAATTTTGTTCTTATATTATCGTTCATAAGTTACATTAAAGTATTTTGATACAAAATATGAAGCCATTTTATTTCTGGCAGTTTGAAGCGCAACACGGCCGCGACTGTCAGGAAAACAAACACAAATCAGCGCTTGCGTCACTTCCGGTAAATAAAAGTCTCTGACGCCACCGCGCTTTTAAATAAACGACTGCGATTTAAAAATTGCTTAAAAACTGAATCTGTCTGTAACTCTTTTCCTATTTTTAATGGCATGTAAGTTTCAATTTAGTTTTTTCAGTTTGTAATATATTAAACGTATGGAGTTCATGTGTAACTGGTGTGAAAAATTCATTTATTTAATCTGACTTGGTTTGTTTATTTCCTTCTGTATTTTTTTTTTTCCTCTCTTAAATTTGTTTATTAATGTTTTAGTTTTTCCTACGTTTTGTAATAAGAATGTGTTAATGAACTTTAAAATTTTGTTCTTATATTATCGTTCATAAGTTACATTAAAGTATTTTGATACAAAATATGAAGCCATTTTCATCAACCCTATCAAATACAAATGACAAAATCCTATTTTATATTTAAAATACGTATTTGAAATACATGTATCATAAATACTGCGCATCCCTGAATATGTGTGTATTAAATGATATAATAATAAGAATATTAAGAATATTACAAAATATTAAGCCGTTGAATCTTTGTTTTTAATTACCTTTTTTATTTGTACTCTTGATAAAGCCGAAATAAAAAATACTTTTTCCGAAAGAAAGAACTTTGTTTGTTTGTTTTTCCACGCACCATGTTAGTTTTGCACCAGAATAACTCTAAAACTACTGTGTAAATATTTAAAGCCAACAAATGTTTATTCAAAAAAAAAAAAGCGTTGCTGTCTCTGTCTGTGTTCACATGCAAATGTGTCTGTTGCTCTCACGAACTCCACGTCCCACAATGCACCGCGTCCGCCAGCCAGTGTGGGGTCAGGGGGCGCGTCGCCATGGCAGCGGCTAGTTGTGACATCAGCGCCATTTTGCCTGAGTGTTGTGATGGAAGCAGCGAGAAAATCAGAATCCGACAGAAGAGCACCGAAATTCAGACGCGAAGCGGACAAATTCAGACCAGAGGGAGTCGATTCAGCGAATCAGACCGAATCGCGTCGAGAATCGAACCGAATCTGGACGGGCGTCGTTCGGAGTCGGAGCGATCTGCGATAACAGGTTTGATTTTCACTAAAACACGCAAAACACTTCAGGCATTTCAGTCAGTTTCGTGTGTAAATCGTGCTTGGGTGTTTTTAAAACAGCGTATTCTTAATTAATTCCGACGCGTGTTGTCGATTTGCTAGAAAACCGCGAAAACACAAAACCAAACGTCCGTCCGATGTGATGAATGAGGTTAATTAATGCTGTAGAATCACCTCACTGTCTTATAACGCTTAAATATGTGTGTCAGATGAGTGAATACTGAGGAACTGATCGCGTGAATGCTGTAGAAGAGCCACAGGTGGGTTTCCCGCCGAGTAATGTGCGATTATTCGTCATTTATTTATTAATTGGACGAACAAACGTCCGATATAACTAATGAATGAGGTTCATTTATACCGTAGAATCACCTCACTGTCTTATAACGCTTAAATTATAAGCTATCGATTATTTTAGTAATCGAGTATTCTACCGATTATTCCGTCGATTAATCGAGAAGTCGGATAAGTAGTTTTTCTTTATTAAAGAGCAATACTAGATATACAAGAGAAAATAAGATAGGTCTCTTAAAATAATAATAATAATTTAATAATAATTTATGCATTTAGCAGACGCTTTTATCCAAAGTGACTTACAGTGCATTTAGGCTATACATTTTTTACCAGTATGTACCAACTAATTTGTTTCCTTTTTAGAAAAATAAATATTTTTACTGCTGAAATTGCATACATTAATTACAGTTAAAACTAAACCCATTTAATGCATTTAATTGCCAAATTACATTCAAAATGCAAATACAAATATATCAGTAAAATAAAAATATAAATAAAAATACAAAAATCAATTTCACATTACTTTAAAAAAGGTACAAACTAAAACTAAGGCATAAATCTAAATAATAGAAATAAAAATAATAATACCTAACCATTGCATTTATGTCGTGCAACTTAACTTTCAAGTTTCAGTCTAACTCAAGCTCAAGCATGACATGAGCCTTCACTGTCTTCTGGGAAGGCTTTGTGCCTTTTGTGAGAGGCAAACATCAGTAGGAAGGTAACTTGGAACAAGAGTCCATACACAATTTCTAAACACATTTTTCTGCAACATGAAATTAGAGTTATTTGGAGAATAAACCCTCTTAAATGTCCCTATACGTACTCTTGTGTGTGTGTGTGTGTGTGTGTGAAACTTGTTTTTGATATCCTTCATATTCTGTGTGCGGGTCAGTTCACAGCAGTGATATAAATTAATCTGTTCCAA